GAGACAGACACACTCACATGCATCGAAGTTGACATATGACCTTAACCAACCAAATCACTTTATACTTGATGAAAGAGGCCAGATGTAGAGTATGTGTACCACTTTTTAGGGATTTGCTTGAATTTTGTTGTGATGATGTTATCTCGCTCTGATGGTGTCCGTCATATGAAACAAGAGATTCCCCGAAACCCAACCCTTCTTCGCGGTTTCATAGTACCAAACCATGTCCAGCGGCATCATACAACGCCAGACTACACGACACTTGAAAGAGAACTTGGTTGGCCCCATCGAAAAGACGCTATCTAATTTGAGTGAGTTAGTGCTTTTTACAGTCTGTCGGCAACATGTAGTACCCTTGAGGCGGTCCGGTTTCTCTGAAAACAGCGCTTTCACGGGTGAGTGGGCGGCTTACCTCTATCCAATGATCAGCGGTAGAACTGTACCAATCGTGGATATAGAATCCGGGCGACAGGGTCAGGTGCAGGTTGTGCAATTTCACAATGAGCAGCTTCTCGATTTCTGGCGTGATGCGGTTCATGAGGCAGTTGATTTCGCCTATCAGCCACTGCAAGTAGATGACGTGAAAACAGGACATCGATATTAGGCATGAAAGGTAAAAAAGTAAAAATTCTTCTTTTGTCCTTTTATTGTTTGCATTCCGTCAGAAAGCATTTCAACTGGCAAAACATTGCTGGACTTCTTATTCAACAAAGCACGGCGACCTAATCTATTATTCTGACAAGGTCAACTGACTATTTACTAGGGTACTAATGGAAATTGATTAGAGTAGTATTATCGCTGCGTAAGAAAAAACTGTTAAATAGGTTGAAACTGATTTTCAGACCAACATTTGGATTTTGCCTTTTTTCATCTATAGCTATGACGTGCGACTCATACCTACTTACCCACATAACTATCTGCCTACCACTTTATTTTTTTCTATCTATCTATCTATCTATCTTAATATCCATCTATTCATCCGTCTATATCCGTCAGTGGGCGTGAGCGAAAGAGATAAAGAGAGATTAGTATTGCCATCCGAATGTGTCAGGTATGGCCTGGGCCACATTTATGGTCAAAGTGGCGACCAAGTGGAGCCTCCCGGGCTTCCGGTGTGGAGGCGGTGAGTTCGAGTTCGGTTGCTAAGTTTGCCTCGATTGACTTTGGACCAAGTCATGGCCCATCTCGGCGGCTGCTTAAATGGGTCAATGCGAATGAGGAATGGTAGACAAGATAAACGCAATGGCAACACAAAAGGCAAGCTGACAAACGATCGCCTACTTGCAGTTTGATGGCTCGCTGTTTGATGAAGCTGCAGCGAGCGAATATCTTCCTCGCCAACAGCGGCAGTGGACAGCTGAAGCGATCCATGCAGACTATTTCGCGAAACAGGCTGATCACTTCCGAGTCCAGGTTCACCATGAACTGGGGTCGCGGCTCCGCCTTGCAGATGACCAGAAGCGAAGCGCCCAGGCCGCCGATGCTGGTCGCGATCTGGACAAGAAAGAAGAAATGTATTCATACAATTTCGTTTAGTGCGACACGGGGACTGGTAGTTGACCTTTC